GTTGTCCTGATGATACTCAGGTGAGCCTTCCAAAAGCTGCAAGTTTCTTCATCCAGCAGCAGAAGAGGAAGTTAGAGAGACTTGAAGGGTGTGAAGGATTTGACAGACCATTTCTGGGTGTGTGAGGGTCAAAAAGTAGTAGCCAGCAGCTGAGGGCAACCCCAGAGGACAGTCAACAAAAACAAGAAACGGACAAAACCTTCAGTCCCACAGTCACAGGAATCAAGTTCAACCACTGACCAAACTTGAAAGAGCATCCCAAGTGTCAGATGGGGACTGCAGACCCAGCCAATGTTGCTTTACCTCTGAGACCTACATAGAGATTCCACCTGACCTACACCAGGAACTTTGACCAATTTATACAGTGAGATTGCAGATACGTGTTATTTTAAAGTCACTGAATGTTTTCATCAGTTTATTGTGATGGAAATAGAAAACAAATACATTTCTGGTATTAAATAAAGATCATCTGTTTCTAAATTGTTTCCAGCTCTCAACCTTGCTAGATTGGTGATCTATCACGTAATGTAATGATTCTCCAACTTTCAGCTTCTGGATACTTTTAAACTCCTAAAAATTACTGAGGATGAAGATGTTTTGCACATGTAGGTATATTTGTTGATATTTATGATAATACATGCAGAGGTAAAAATTGAAAATTTACTAAATATTTCCTTCCAATTGATTTTAAAAGGCTCCCTCCCATTACAGGTTATTAGAAATGATTTATGAAAAAAACTATCTTTTATAAAACACTATAATATAATTATGTTTCACATCTTTGCATTTATAAATATCTGGCTGAATAGAATATAGTTGCATTTTGTATCTTCTCCTGCATTCTATATGTCGTAATATCACATATCAGGTAGCCTCTGGAAAAATTAAATTTACACTCATGAGAAAATAAGGGTAAAAAAGATCAAAATTCTCTAAGTATTATTGTTTAGAAAGCTATATTCCCACAGACTCTTTGAAAACATCTCAGAATCCCTGCATCATGCTTAAAGAATAGCAAATGCCACATTCTTCATATGTGTAATAAGGATGATGATTACATTAACACAGGTTGGACATAAAGTTCATGTGTTATT